CATTACCCCGAGTGAATGACCATTGGGGGGGGCACACAGGGTGGCCAATCAGATTACAGGGGGGGGCGGGTGCCCCCTCCGTGCCACCATGGAAGCCCCGCCACTGTCCTCTGATTGAACCAATGTAAGCTCTGTTGCCACTGATGCTCTGTTCTGTACCTCGGGGGTCTTTGCTGCTGCTCTCCCAGAACAGAACCAGACCAACAAATATAACACTCTGCATTTGGAAACAAAGTGTGAGTATATTGTCTGAAATGTTGAATAATTACTTTATGGAAAAACAAGAATTGCTTTGAGAAATAAATGAAGAAACTGAACATCAGACTGGAAATATATTAACTTTTGTAAAGTGATCAAGAATAACTTTTAATTTTGAACTTTCATCATAAAGACCACAGAGCATGCAGCATCCATCCTTCAGTCTTAAACACTTTCCTCTTATTTTCACACATTAAACTCTTTTTATAGCAGCAGTTTTTTTCTTTTTCCTGTTTCCAGTCACAAAATGTACAGATTCAAGATAAATGATGCTTCATGTTTTTACATTCAAATGGAAATGTCTTTCAGTTCTTTCATCAGTTCTCAGGATTCAAAAAAACTTGTTATCCAGAGATAAACAGGACGTCTGTCTGATTTTAATCAAACTGTTGACACATGCAACAACACACAGACACATTAACAGCAGGGACAGACCCCGTATTGGCTCATCAATATTTCATATTTACAGATACACTCTTTGGTTTTGTTTCAGAGCCTCAACGAGCTCAGGGGAAGTGCGTCTTTCACAGAAGGGTTAGGGTTTAGGGTTAGAGTTTGGATGATCAGGGCTATGCTAACTTAATTCATAGTAAAGTAAAACCGACGGCTGGAATCAATTACAGACACAGATTTTCCAACTTTCTCTCTTTCTTTTCTCCATCAATCTCCTCTTCTGTCTGCTCTCTTTATAAATATGAAGTATTATCACAGAGCTCTGGGTGGGGGGGCACCTCCATGGCTTGCCACAAACAGGTTGAGAAGAGAGAGTAAAGATAAATCTCTTCAGATCAGATCAAGATCAGTTTACTCCTCCAGCAGCTGTCTCACTTTCTATGTAGTGTCACTTTCTGTGTGAACACGCCTTTAGGAGCCTTTTTGAGGTGCTGTAACAACATCAGTGAGTGTACCTTTAAATTCTGAATATCAGTGTCTATATAAATATTTAATCTCATATCGGTCCATCCTTAATAAATACACACATCCAGGTTCACACACACACACACAAACACTCTGAACAGACTTACAGCCTCAACCAATCAGAGAGCAGCATAGAAACAAACAAACATGCTGAGAATCACTATAGCAACCAAGCCATCACAACATAAAGGCAACAGCACTCGTCCAGGTAATATACAATCAGTAAGACCTCCATCATGGCCGCTACGCAGTCACACCACCAAGATTTCACAGCCTGTTTATCTTCTAACAACTGCTTCCACATCCTGGAAACACTGCCTCAGGCCATGCCCCTCTGAGGAGGCGGGGCCTGAGGCAGTAGGCGGCTCCTGAACTTGTGGTCGGTAGTCAGTGGCGATGTGAACACAGAGCTCCACTGCAGGTTTTAGGTTTGTTGCATTTTTGTGCTTCCCGAATGAATCTTTAAAATTGTCTCTGTGTTCTTTTTACTTCAACTGAACTTCAGATTATCCACAGAATGAGTTGCCATGGAAACTCTACAGCTTCCTGTTCAGTGGCTCAACACTGTGGACAGTCATCACTGCCCTCAAGATGAAGGTAATCCAGATAAATTTGGTTGTGGAACAATGAACTGAACCGGCCATCAGGTAGAACTAGGTATTTTATTATTTATTATTATTTCATTAGTTTTTGTACTATGTGTTTAATAACAGAACATCAGGTTTACTGAATATCCAACTAATGAAAATTGTGTCGACTATCAGTTTACTCGACTATCAGGGGACAGCCCTAGTTATTATTATGACATGGTTAGTGACAGTGGTTGTCCCACAGTTGCACAGACCACTGCAGCAACACAGCAGCAACACAGCAGCAATGTGAGGAAAGAGCCCAAAACATTGTACCGCTATTATTCTGTAGTTATCAACCCTGTTACCCTACAGCATCACCTCCACCCTACAGCATCGCCTCCACTCTACAGCATCACCTCCACCCTCAGTATTTCCACTGGCTCCCTATGGGATATGATTCCATTTTTGTTTTTTAGACTTTTTACTTTCTAATGGATATAATTCGTTTTATGTCCTTGTGTTACATGAAAGGTCTATTGAATTATTATAAATGTCACTGTGCTCTCAAATACAAATAAACTGCAGAATTCCAGGACAGTGAGAATCTTTGTTATAACACAGATAAAATCTATGTTGTTAAAACTATCCAGAGTGTTGAGCCACCAAGACTTCTGACCCTCCCGGATGGAAACGATAATTTCTTGCAGCTTCAACTTTACATCAAATAAAGCCCAAGAAATGTATAGCCACTTGCTCCTCAGTGCTGTCCAGGTACTGTGCTGTTATTTTCAAAATAAGGCTTTTGTTTTGAAAGGGTAAGAGACTACTCCTTGAACCTTCGTCCCTGCAGACTCTTATAATAGTTCTCCTGTTCAGTCTGGTTACGAATCTCTCGATCCAACAGAACTAGTGCCGTCTTGCGTCTCATGGCCATCTCCCTGCGCTGAGTGTCCGCTGGTGTCTCCACCTGTGGGTTAGGTGTGGGTGGGGCCAAGTCGGGGTCAACTGCGGAACGCGGTGAAGCGGATCGGTGCGGCCTAAAGCTGCTGCCGCGGGCGGCAGAGTCTCCACGGTTCAGGCTGTTGAGGTCGTAGGTGTCTCGTGAGTCGCCCCCATTGGATGACCCCGCCCACTCCCATGGGTTACCATTACCTGCTAAGGGCGGGGCTTGAGGAGGAGGCTGGGCTTGGACAACAGGATGGTGAGGGGCGTGGGCGTCCACCGTGATGATACCTGACCCCTCCCGCTGCTCGAAGGGGGGATGGTAGTGCGGTGAGTCAGTGGTGGAGGAGGTCCCGGAGCAGGTGGAGGTGGTCTCAGATGATTTATCCCCTGAGGAGGAGGAGGGGAGGAGGCCCTGCTGCTTCGACATGGCGATGACCTGCATGAGTCGCGGCTGATTGCCGGCGCTGCGAACTGACCCCTCCCCGCTCGTCTTCTCTCGGATGGCAAGCCATTTGGCCCGGGTCAGAGCACTCTTTGGGGACACCGGAGGGGGTCCTGCTTCAGGGATCTGCGGCGGTCTGGGAGTCGCCACCGCTTTGGCACCCCCTGGAGGTGGAGTGGGGTTGCGACTAGAGGCTGTCCTCCCAGACTGCACTGCAGGCTGGTAGATGGGGACCTGAGACCCCCCCTCATCGGTCCCCACAGAGCCCACCTCCGAGCCGTCCTCACTGGCATCACGATCCACCTCATCCCGGACGCTCAGGCCCCTCATCTCCATCGACTTCTGCTTCCACTCTGAGACCAGCTGCTGCGAACGCATCGGATCCATGGGTACCTGCACGGCCTTCAGACGCCGCTGCACTGGCTGCACTGGCTGCACCGGCTGCACCAGATCCTCTGGCCCTGTGTTGGACCCCAGCACCCCATTAACATTCATGCTAGCCCTTGGCAGCGTGTTACTAAAGGTCAACATGGTCTCCTTGCCCATGGGGCTGCGAGGAGCCAGCAGCTCCACATCCACGCTGGCCCTCTTCAGGCTCCCTATGGAGTCCTTCTCCCTCTGCAGGGGCCCGAGACCCTCCAGCCGGTCTATGGGGACTGGAGCTGCCGTTATCTCATCGTTACTCTCTGAGGCAGAGGCAGGGCCCTTGTTGTAGACGGACTCATGTCCTCGCTCTGTCAGCGCTCGCAGAGGATCCTCCTTTGGTGGCGGGGGAGGTGGGGCCGGAGTGATGTCATCAGAGGACTTAAAGTTGGCGACAGCGTGAAACGCCTGAAGAAGAAGAACAAAATCATCTCTAAATGTCTTAGAAGCAGTTTTACTGGTTATGACCAGCTCTCACCACCAGATCTCACCAGGTAAGCAGCGATGAAAGCTCCGATGAGGAAGCCAACGTAGACATCGATAGGATGGCTGCGATGCTGAGTGATCTGAGTCAGACCTGTTAAGGCCGCCGCGATAGCGAATGCAAAAACCAAGACGGGTTTCAGCAACTTAGTGCTGTTGGAGATCGTCGAGTTAAAATACATCTGAAAGGAAATACATCAGTTTATTTATAGAATATAAAGTACTGTAAATATCACATTTTAACAATTCCT